CAAAATGTTCTTTTTTAATGAACATCTTTTCACATATTATATGATTTAATCGTTCAATCATTAAGAGTTGTACAATCATCACCACAATCAATTTCAGGATATTTTCTTCTCATATTCCTTATTGTAGTTCCCCAAATCCTCCCTAGGTAATTATTAATTAATCTAGCTATTTTCTAATTAATCTAATAGTTCCAACTAACAATTACTCTAGTTACCTATAGGCTTGAGTCCTTTAGAAGAGTCTTGGTACTGTAATGGTTACACATTGGGCGGCTAACTGAAGAGGTCTAAGTTTGAAACTACCAGCCGCTTTGTGGGACAAAGACGAGGCTTTCTCCCCATCGAGAGGTACAGTTGTGAGTTGTTATAAGTGAGCATCGACTCGATGGCAGTGAGTTTGGTTTGGTTTGAGTCCTTTGTTATTCTTATTTGTTTTTTTTACATCAATAAACATTTTATTAATCATCTTTCAGAGGCTGGAATAAAAGTATTATCCCCACAAATCTTTTGAGCTATTGAAAAAGGAATCAGCAACAATCATACAGTCTTATTTTTTACCTGTTTTAAAATAATGATCAGAACTGTTTTTTTGTTTGTTTATCCTAAAATATCATGTACAGTTTTTAAAAAATGATAACAGCTCTATGGAAGTTATTTGCCTTAACAAGCTATTCTTAACATTTCTATGGGAAATACATTCATTATAACCAAAGGCAGTATTTTCAGTTTTCATGGAATCCTAGGGTAGCCAGACTGAAATGGATGCTCCAAGTTATCTTTAGCTACTACTCATCTAATGTTTAAGGAACAGAGATGGACAGAAGTTAAACAAACTGCTTAAGATTCCTAAGACAATACATTTCATTTAAATGAGCTCCTTAACTAAATTAATTTAAATTTGATTCCTCTTCCTGAAATTCTTTAATTAAGAGTTTTCACTCCTATTCTGGGTTCACAAATATATTCTGTAAAGAACAGATATTTTAGATTATGCTACTGATATTAGATATTGATATTAGAAACTGAAATGAAAAGATTATAGTTTTGATGGTTTGAAAGCAGTTACAGGCAACATGTAAATGAAGGAGTTTTATCTGTAATATGCGCAGGCAATCAAAGGAAGTTTACCTAAACAGTTTTCCTGCCAGTTTCCCTTTGCTTCTTGTTAAGTAAATACTCGTTAATGCCCCAGTGTGACACCACCACAGTTCATGTTTGCCTGACAGCAGGCTAGACTGCCTTCCCCGGTAGATTTCAAATATTCATTATATGTAGTTGGAGTCCTCACTATGTTTTGCTCTTTGTTTTACAGTTTCGTTGCAAAACGGATAAATGTATCCCGTTCTGGTGGAACTGTGACGTGTGGATGACTATGGTGCTGGATCTGATGAACCTGAGAGTACTTTGGCAAATGTTAGAATTTAGAGCTCTTTATGTCTAAGATCCTGCAAATGTAAGCTGTCCCTTAAAAAGAATTCTTCTGGTACATTTCCCAAATGGAAATACAAAAAGATCTTCTGTGCAATTAAAATACACAACAAAAATATTTGGCGAGAGTGGCCATACCGGGAGGGTGGAGGGAAGGTGAGGGAGAACAGGGTAATAGATTACAAGGATCTACATATAACCTCTTCCCTGGGGGACGGACAGTGGAGAAGAGGGTGAAGAAAGTCGTCAGATGGTGTAAGATATGATAAAGTAGTAATACTTTATAAATTATCAAGGGTTCATGGGGGAAGGGAGAGCGGGGAGGGAGGAGAAAAATGAGGAGTTGATACCAAGGGCTTAAGTAGAAAGGATATGTTTTGAGAATGATGATGGCAACATATGTACAAATGTGCTTGACACAGTTGATGTATGTATAGATTGTGATAAGAGCTGTATGAGCCCCTAATAAAATGATAAAAAAATATATATATTTGCAAAGTCTAATGTATGCCTCTGATAACCACTATATTCAGAATGACACCATCACCAATTTTTAACACTCTAATTGTCTTAACTGTAGAATAACTACATCATGTCATGTAGTGATCAGTACAGTAATGATTCACCATGTTTTCAAATCAAGTTGGAAGTGAAAGTGGACAAGTACTCAAAATGCCACTGAATGACTGGAATCTCCCCTTTCAAGGATACAATATTTCAATATTTCTATCAGTATTAT